CTCTAATGTAACGCTGGCAGCAATGGATGTGCACAGCAGGCAGGAGGATGAAGGAAGCTCATGCTGCTCACATGGCACCAGTCAGGGGGATCGCACGTGTGATGGTAGCACTGGAGGCTCACACAGCAACAGGGGGCCAGAGGCCTTCATGCAGTGAGGGAGGGGTCCTAGGGAGTCCATGAGGCCTCTGCAGCATGTAGCCTGCACAGTGTGCAGCCTGGGCCCTGTGACCTGTGTGGCATACTGTTCCTGGCAGCTCTGAAGTTGGATAGCCCTGGTCTAGTGTGTACATCTTAGCTTGTTAATGAGAATAGTGTGGAAAACAGCATCAACAGTATTGCATCCACAGCTTCTCCCCTCCCCCTCCCTCCACCCCATCCACAGAGCCTGTCACCTTATGTGTCTTTTCTCCACACCACCACCCTTTGCATTGGCAGTTTGCTCATGCCCTTAATATTGATCCTTAAAGAAACTGACAGATATTCTGAGGTCCTTTTCCCCCTTAGACTTGCTTCCTCAGGGAACTGATCTGCCATGTCTTTCTCAAAGCAAACCAAGAAATTTTTGGGTTTTTTTTTCTGAAGTCTGTTGTCATTATTCTGCTCTTCTACTTTGCATACTTCATGAGCTCTATCATAGCAGGCTTATTTGTTTAGGAGCTTGGTTTCAGAATAATGTATATTTTTTTTATGTTTTAGTGTTAAAAATAAGGTGTTCTGTATTTTATATGCCTAAGTTGGGTGTATGTTATTATTCAGTTATAAAAAGTTAAAGTGATTTGATTTGGTTTGGTTTGATTTGGTTTGATTTGATTTGATTTGTTTTCTTTCCACAGCTGATGTTACGAGATTCACTCTGTGGCCTGAGACCTGAAAAAAATGGGATTTATACATTTCTACGGACACAGTCACCTCACTAAGTATGACCAGCTTGGCTATAGAACTCTATCACAACAAGAACAAGGCTTGAGATTATTTTAGAGTAATTAACTGTACATTTGATACACATGCCATGGACAGATTTTTCTAGGATCCAGCGACACTGCTGCTATTGACAAAAAGCTGCACCTGAATGAATTTCCCCACCTCCTTATTATTGTATACCTGTCTTCCTTATAAGGAAAACAAGGAAGTGTGATAAAGAACAGTGTTAAGCTCCATAACCATGTTGAAGTTGCTTTTATGCTCAGCCTGCCTTCTTCACCTATCCAGGTAGCTTTTGTTCTCATTCTAATTAATTTTCTGTCAGGTTAGTTTTGAAATTTCTCTGTAAACCAGTGTAAGTAACATCGTAAAATGTACACTTCAGGGCACTGATTTTTACAACGTTCTGCACTTACATGGATGATAATTAATATGTTAAGATTTTTGTTTACACAGCCAGAACTGAAAACGAATGGGGATTGAATTGCTTTGCCTGTTCTTTCTATTTCTGCAAAGAACTAACAATGTACAAGGTAAGGCTCACAAGTAGTGAATTCTATTTCTTTAAAAGTGCAGTTAGCATTGTTTTATGCTTAGCAACTTAATATACACTGGCTCCAGGCATTTAGTGTTTTCTATTCAGTGATTCTTTCCAGCTTAATGAATTATGATTTTTTTTTTAGTAGGGGGCAGTATGTCTAGTCTGTGAATGTACTTAAGATTTACATGTTTATAAGATAGCGCTATGTGTATCAAACCTGTACATTTTTGAGCCGATGTACTTATGCAAATTAAAGTTTGATCTGTTGTGACATTTCAAATTCCATTCCTGGCTCTGCTTATGTTTCTGTGCTATTTAACATCCTTTTAACTTATCAACTACCCTAAAAAGCAGAACAAAATGAATGCAAACATGTATACAGGACTAATTCTCTAAAATTTCTGGGTATGCTGAGAATTTATTAAATCTATAGCTCATGAATTAAACTTAGCAGGTAATAAAATGAAAGTTTCCAATAGAGGAGTAATCTTGTGGTATCCAAAAGGTATTTTTTCTAAAAATTGCTGCTAGTACTTGTATGACTGGTAAAGTTAAACATTAACCCCGTGGACATAAAACTGATAAAGGTAAATATTTTAAATGATGGCATTTTAGCAATATTCTTAATTAATGTGCAGTAGTTTTCTATATTTTACTTTCAACAGTTTGAAAAGATAGCACATTGAGAGAAACTGAATCCGTAAGCCTATTATTACTCTCTCTTATCTTCCTGAATTTAAATCTAGGAAGTTGTACTCTGGAGAGTGTGGTGACTTGTGAAGATTGTTTGCTTTGTGGACCCCACTTTGCTTGGTGTTCTCAAGAGGTAAAGTAA